GCGTCGTAATGTCGAATTTTCAGAAGCGTCTTACCATACTTTTCATCCACTTTTGTTCCGAATGTCCCACAAATTAGTGTAATCCTTCCTTTCTTTCGAGTGCCACCCTGAAACAACTTCTTGTCGCTCGGCGTACAGGTTCAGCCTGGCCGCCAGCCGCCGCGTGACACCCTCCGGTGAAATACAACTGATGTCAAAAGAAGTGATGGGAGAGAGCCACAGAAAGATGGGAAACCAAGCGCGCACGTCAATCCGCTGCAGGCGGCAGGCCGGGCGTGGCTGTCGTTTCGCAGAGTGGTTCGGGGCTTAGCCCCTCCCCACCTCGCCACCGCAGCGCGCACCGCGTCGCGCCGCGAATGGCTGCACCGCGTCTCTGCACACAGTGCACGCGGTGCACTCCGGCAGCGGAATAATTAGCCTCCGCGGGGCGAAATGGCTGGCACGACGGGAAGCGGCGTGAGGCACTAGGCTGCACTAGGCCTTGCGGTTCTCAACCTGGGGTCGTGAACGCCCTGACGACTCTGACGGCTGCAGTGCACCGAGGTGCGTGGCCAAGCCACTGCGGCGATGCCAGTGCTTCGAAGGGCCATAGGCCACGCCTCCGTTCGAGCATTCCCGAAGCGCGCGAACCTCCGCCATGTTCGATTCCAGACGACCCTTCCGTCTCCAGGGTGCGTGGCCGTGCCGCCCGGTGGTGCCGGCCCTCTTGTGAGTGGCTGCGGCGGCATTTTGCCAGTCGCCACAATGGGCTGGTTAGTAGACACTCCCTTATCGAGGCCCCGGGGGGTTCGGGCTGGGGTGGGGCGGGGCGGGTGGCCACTGGAATCAAGAGGGTCGGCCCCCGCTGCGGACTTGAATTTCAATGGGCTGCGCTGGGGGCTGCGCCGGGGGTTGCGCCGGGGGTTGCGCCGGGGGCTGCGCCGGGGGTTGCGCCGGGGGCTGCGCGGGTTGAGAGGGCTGGGCTGAAGGAGTCGGGCCGCCGGGCCGCACCGAGGACGCCCGGGCAGCACCAGTCAGTCGGACGCTCCAATCTCGATCATTAGATTCGGATTAGCGCAGCGCTCCCTGAAAGGGCTTGGTTCCTCGCCCGGCAGGTGAGGCGAGAGGGGTGTGTCTGCGTCACCGTGCCGTGCCCGCGCCGCACCACGCTCTGCACCGCCACTCCTCCCCTCCCTCCCCCGCACCGCGGAGACCCGGATCAACAGCCGAGCAAACTTGTTGATGCAGCGCGCCTCGCGGCGGCCCCGCGCACGAGACGACGATAAGGATTTGAGGAAATCGTTTTCCGCCGAAAAGGAGTGGCACTCACTTCTCTCTGCTCGGCGGTGGACTTAGGGCGGGACTGTGGAGGGGCGGGGGCGGCGGCGGCGGCGGGGGCGGCGGCGGGGGCGGCAGCAGCCGGCTGCGCTCTGTGAAATAAGCTCTCCACCACCCGATTTCCCGCTGCGTCATATAATTCATGGGCCATGAAATCTGGCGGAGCGGCGCGCAGCAAATCCAATTGCCAAACAGGGGAAGCCTAGCCTGCCCCGTGAGCACTGCGAGGACTGCGAGGACGAAGACACTCACTCATTTCGCGACAAGCTCCGTCCGGCCCCCTGCCGCCCCCTGCCGCCCGCTGCCCCCGCCTCGCCCCCCCAGCGCCCGCCGGCGGCTCTCGGCAAGACGCGCGCTCACGGCTCCCCGCCACAGCACTGCAAATATCCGGGCCGCTGCTGCTACGGGGCTTCCGCCCACATTCCCGCGGAGCGATCAGTGTGCTCCTCGATCCTTCGATCCGCACCGCCTAACGAGCACGGCGGGGCGAATCCGTCACGCGAAAGAGTTGTCAACGCGACAGAAAAGAAGCGAGCGCAGCGCCAAGCGCGAATCAGTTCAAATCCACGAGTGTGGGGCCCCGTGGCACCGGGGACGCGCGGGAAGCGGAAAGCGGCGCCTCCGGCGTCACCCTTCCCGCGTGTGCCGCAAACAGGGACGGCCTCAGTCGATTCAATGGGGACGCCGCGGTTTGTATTTCACTCGTTACACCGAGATTGGGGAAAACATGTACGCAGCAGTCGGCATCGCATGGCGTTTGCGCTGCGCAAATATGCGAGTGTGTGTGTGTGTGTGTGTGTGAGAAGGCAAGTTGCCCGCTGCCCTAACGAGTGCCGACGCGGCCCTTATTGGAGTGTGCGGTTTGGGCACCATTAGTGGGCTGGCTGCTGGGTCTGGCTGCTCGGTCTGGCTGGCTGAGGGTGCCACGCTTCGTGTCAAGGAGGCGCCTGATTTCCGGGTCGCGTCAAGTGACTCGGGAAAACAAGGGGCGTGACAGACAGATTCCTCTAACCTGTTAATTTGTTTTGATAATGTGTGACGCCCCATCCGAGCGTTGACTCCTCCACACCACAGATGGCGTAACCAATGACGGGGCCACTGCGGTTTGACTCTGAGGTTTGCTCCCTGTGATGAGATGGGGGAACTGTCTGGTGAGCACCACTCCCGCAGGGAAGAGGGCCGGTTCGCCGGGGTGCCCTCTTTTCTTCAACGTGTTGATTTGATTTCTGGAACTCTATTTTTGCTTTGGTTAAAATGTGTTTGGAAATTATTGAAAGAAGAAGAAACGTTATCAAAACAATACAACAGGTTTCTGGGAAAATTGTCCTGCAGCCATGTCTTGGTTGACAGAGTACGCCGCGGCTGTTCGGTTGGATCAACGGAGCGAGTATCTCTTCTCCTGCTGCAGCCTGGCACTGTGGCGGTGTAAATGGATCGGACGAAACAGAGGTCGGACAAAAAAAAGGCAGACACAACAAGGCCCGTCCGATTCACGGGCGGGCGAAATTCGGCCCGGTCGGACGAAAAAAGATCGGACAAACTATGAGCACCGTTAAAGAGCGCTTACGCCCACTGGACCGCGCTGACGTCGCTGATCCCCCAGCCGGGACAGCTGGAAACTTCGCCGATGGCGAGCGGCTGGAGGGCCATTAGTGGCAACACACTCCGCCGCCGTCTGCAGCCCCGCCAGGCCCCACTAGACCCCACTAGACCCCACGGCCAGCCGGGCCGGCCGGGCAGCCCCAACTTGGACCGAATATAATCTGGAATCCGCGCGCCGCCGCGTCGGATTGGCGAGGAACTTTGCAGGACGGCCGGGCGGAAGCAAGCGGAAGTAATGAAAATGGGATTGGGGGCCCCACCAGGCCCCACCAGGCCCCACCAGGCCCCACCAGGCCGGCAGCGAGGCCGAAAGCGAGGCCCGCTCGAACGGGGGACTTTCTAATGAGGCCCACCTCTCCAGCCTTTCAGCCCTCCACCGCCCGGCAAACAAACCCAGTGGAGGGGCGGCGGCAAGGCGGCGCGCCGCGGCGAGGCTGCATCCTACATGTGCCCCCGATGCTCCCATTCCCACGACTCCCCCTCCTCCTCCGACGACGAGGCGACGCCGCGAACGCAGAGGTCCAAATAATGACGTGGCCGACAATGCGCGAGCTGAGCCAGCGGAGCGTCAGGGTCGGGACAGGCATCGCCGATGCCGGCTGCATGGCCTGGCGGCCTGGCGGGCCTGTCCAGCACGCTCAGCCTCCTCTCCACACCGGCCGGGTCCCTGTCGGGCGGCCGGAAGCAGTCGGAACGCGGTCGGAGTGGAGAGGCGCCACGGGGCGGGGAGGCTTGACAAGCCGTGCCCTGGCTGCGTCTGCGCGGCGCTCACGGCCCGCAGAGAATACGCCCTGCAGCGGCGCCGTGGGAAGCAGCGCGAGCTTGATTATTTCTTCCTCTTTGGAATGCCCCTATTTGGAAGGCATCACTAGCTTAGCGGGGCCGCGCTGGAACAAGTGAGGCTTGTTGGTCCTGGAAGCCAGTCAAAGTGCATCTCCACTCCGCCAGTACCTCGGCCCCTGCCACCGCGCCACCCCGCCAAACCGCTGGAGCCCCTGTCTAAACTGAAACCCTCGTCAGCCACACCGAGCCGCGCACTGTCGGGAAAGGGCGGGAAGGGCGGGAAGGCCCTGGTTGCGTCACGCTCGTTACGAAGGGCCTTTATTGCGCAATGCCTCTCTGCATCATTTGCCGACGGACTGCCCGTCCGTCCAACCACCGCGAGTTGGTTCGTTCGAGCCCCATTCAAGGGATACAGAGCCGGAAACTCGCCTGACATTCTATTTTGTACTTTACGCGACCCCAAGCCCCGCCGCGCCACCGCCGCCACGCCACGCCACGCCCCGGGGACGGTTGGTTTCATCGACAGCAGAGGAGGGAGAGGAAAGTGGAGACACTGGACACGGGGCGCGGCCGAGTGGGGCCGAGAGGCCGGCCGGGCAGCGGGGACAATCGCAGTGCCCTGCAGCAATCAAGGTTCTTCAATCGGACAACGTCCGGACAGGGGCCGGGCCCTGTGTCACGGCCCCAAACACGACAAAGGCTGCGACGGGGCCTCCGCTTCCGCCTTTCAAAGGGGGTTTCTTTTCACCCGTTACGTGACCTTTTCTTTTCCAATGCTCTAATCGGTGCGGCGAGCGCAGAAGGCGAGTCGGGGAGTGGCCGGCCGCGCGACAATAAAAAAACGTAATTTGAGGTAATTTTATCTTTTCCTCGCCGTAGTCGTCAGACGCAGACAAAGGTAGTGTTCTTTTTGGCATGTTGAAGGCGGCACACAGAAAAAGGTGTTATTGCGTTTTTGGCACGGTTGAAGTCAACCTTTCATGTGATTGTCATTGTTAGTTGTGTGTTTTGGAGCGTGCGTGCTGAGTCCGGGTGTGTGCGAGGTGGAGGGGGTTTATCTGCGTTGGCCTAACTTCCCTCTGATAGAAGCGAGTTCTACATCTATACCGCACATTAGAGTTTCGGGTCTGGTTGTTTTGGTTGATTTTTATCGTGGAATGTTTCAGTCAAATTTGCAGTGTGACGACGGGAATGAAAGCCATTGCGACGCAACGGATTTAGCTCCGTCGCGGAATTCTAAAGAAGTGGGGTTTTTGCATGAAGCGTGCTTGAGGAGGGAGAGAATTCAAAGTACTCACCCGCCGCTACGCTCGCAGGTCTGGCAAGTGCGGGGCTCGGCCTAGCGCCCCATCGGCCTGAAAAGAGAGGAGAAAGCTTGAATTTAGTTTCGCTTTTTTTTTTAGGTCTGCCGCTTTCCGCTGGGTGTAGGCAGTGCCGCCGGGCTGGGCTGGGCTGTGCCGCCCCGCAGAGCAGCTGGACGCGGCGGGCACTCCCACGAATTTATTTGCACTAGGTGCACCAGGTGCAGATGAATTAATTCGAGCGTCCGCCGCAAGTAGCTGCCCGTTTCACGGCGACTCGCTACCGCTTCAAGCGCCGTTGCTGCCGGGGGCAAGCACCACAATAATTCCAGAAATGTGACATTCGTTTTTATATTGTGTCACATTCTTTCCACCGGAAATTAGATTTCGATTAAGGCCGAACCCAAACCCAGCTGGTTCACGTCGAAACGGACATAGGTCGCATGTGACGCGATTCAGGCCCAACGAATAAGAGACCCACAAAAGACTCGTGTTTCATTTGGAAACGGCGCACACCGCGCCGAGAGTTTTGTCCACCTGAAACGGGCCCTCTGACTCCCAGCGCAGCAAAACAGGACGTAGGGTCCAGAGGGCAAAACGCATTCGGAGAAATAGAGAAGGCACACGACGACATTTTCCTTTTAGGTGGAAACCTTTTCGAATGAAATACGTTGTCTCGAGACGGGCGCCTTTGCGACAGGCATTTAGATTAGTTTACGCCGGCGGGCGGGGGTCTGTCGCACATGGAGAACGTGCCGCTGCCGCTCTGGCTCGGGAGGGGAGGCTAGGCTGCGCCTGCTGCTGCCGGGTGGCCGCAGCGTGGCGGCAGCGAGGCGGCAGCCCGAGCCGAGCCGAGCCAGGCCGTGGAGTACTCCGTGCTCTATCTGCGCCATCAATTCAGTGGAGCCAAGTCGAGCCCAGTGTGAGCATAACTCTCCAAGATAGGGCCGCGCGCGCGGACCGCTCTGGCAGGTACGCCGCGCCCCGGGGCGTCGCGCTGTTGCGCCATCGCCGTCCTCCACAGCCCTCCGCGGCGACAAGACGCCCGCACCTGCGCCGACTAAAAACCTGTCGTCATCTGCCGGACAAGGCGGAGCCCCGCGAGCGGCCGGCGGCCTGGCTGGCGTGGTTCTCGGCGGGGTAGTACAGCACCGTGCGGCGGGGCGGGACGGGGCGGGCCGGGGAGGAGCGCCGCTCTCGATGATTTATGGCTCGCTCATGACTAGGAGGGACACAGCGGCGGGGCGGAAGGGGGCGGGAGGGGAGGGCAGAGCCACAGGCGGGCAACGTAACGGCGTGCAGGGCGTGGTCGCAAGTGCGTACTTTTGGAGGGAGCGCGGCGTGCTCGCTCAATGTTTTTTCTTCGCACTGTTTCGTTACGTCGCTGGTTCGTTGCGGTAATTCGCGCTCCGCTTGCCGAGATCCGACGAGACGGTTATTTACACGTGGCCTCCGCCTCGCCGCGCTGCGCCGCGCTGCGCCGCGCTGAGCTCGCCTCGCGGCCCGGCAGGGAGCCGCGCGTAAAACTGTGAAAGGCAGAGAGAAGAGGGTCCTCACGACGCGCGTCCCCAGATCACCGTCCGTCACAATATAGCTTGCCGCCGCCACGTCCCCCGAGGCCAAGAAGCCCGCCCGCTCCGCCCGGATCCTACCCGCCTTTTCGGAGCGCTGGCTGCGCGGGCTGCGCCGGTGGGGCGGCCTTTGTGTTGATTTTGGTCGTAATCCTGGTGGAGTGCGCGGTGCGGCGCGGCCAGGCGGCCACTACGGCCCTCACTGAGCCCGTTCGTCGTGGTTACGAAGGGGGTGGGCGTCTGCGCGGTGCGAACGCGGCGCGAAGAGAGCAGTCACCAACTTGTAATCCCAGTATGGGCGGCGGGGCGGCGGCAAACTACTTGGCCTCCTCGGGACCCCAATATTGCGGAGGAGACAACGGCGCAGTTTCGTGCTTCCCTCAAACTTGGCAAAGTAAACACACGCCTTGCATCTAAATCATCAAGGCCTAAAAGTTACACCGGCAGGGAAAGAAAAACAACAAATAAAACGCCCTGGAAATATTTGCGGCGCGCTGCTCGGGGCATGCCCGGCGTAGCCTCGGGCGTAGCCCGCCGCAACTTTCTCGGCCAGTTTTTGAGCACCACCCTGCGCTCCACCTTTTGCTCCACCCTTAGCTCCACCCCCTGCCAGGCTGCGACGGCCGGGCCGGATTAGTGCTTTCTTGCCCGGCTTTTACAGCGGAGGTGTATGCCGGCTGGCCCCAGTCGGGCCGGGCACTCCAAGAGTCTCCGCTCCCAGCACTCCGCCAGGCAGTCAGGTGACGACCTGGGCCGACCTGGGCCGACCTGGGCCGACCTTGGCTGGCGGTGCTCCAAGCCAAGAGAGCAGCACCACAAGGCTTATCGTTCTCTCCACCCAAATGGTTGGAAAGACAGCCAACACAAAGGACCACAGTAACCAGGAATGAAGAGGATGTTGTGCGAGATGGTGTCTGAGGTGGCCACTGTACCCTAGTGGAGCCGTAGTCGTATTTTTTTTTTCGGAGTGTGGGAAAAATGGCCGGGGGTGGGGCTAATAGAAAAGGCTTCCCTTGTTCACCGCACCGATTTACAAGTTCCCCCAGGAGGCCGTGCCGCCGCCGCCAAGTCGGCCTTCGGCTGGCTCGGCAAGACAATGCTGCGGGCGTTTGAGGCAATCATAACTGCGCTGGGATTGCCACTTCGCAGTGCTGATGACTCTCCGGAGGGAGCGCGGCGTGTCGCAGAGTCAGCCGGGCGAGCGGTGCACATTCCGACAACTCCGCCATTCCGTCATCTCCCTTGCCCGAGAGGATGCCCAGGATGCCACCCGACTGGTCGTTGTCGCTGGCTGCACCTCTGGCCGCAGGTCCTGCGGGCCAAGTCAGGAGGACAACGCTGGTCTCCTTGAAAGGCCTGTCCTCGTAACAGACTAGGGGGAATTTTCCATCACGCCAATTGTTTGCTTTCCGAACGAAGGGTCCATCGGCGCTGTGTACGTCTCTTTGCCTCTGTTTCCTGGAGTGTGTGCCCAGTGTTGTCCGCCTAAACTGGCGGTGCTCGGTGTTGGACGACCTCCGGGCCCGCTATGGCTGGCCCGCACGGCCCGCACTGGCACCATGCAGACTGCCCTGGGAGGGTGCGATGTGTGGTCAATACCACACGGTGCCGCCACCGTTACGGCCAGGGGCACTGGAGCCTGGCTGGAGTCGTGCTGGAAGGTGGGGCACGGAGCCTGCGAATGTGTATTTGTGTCTCCCCCGTGGCCGCCCGACCCGACCCGCCCGCCCCACTGGCCTTCCTCTCCCCTTGGACTCTCCACCCACCAACACAATCGCCACCTCCACCACCACTGCCGCCGCCAACAGCCCCGTTCTCCTCCTGGACCGCGTGGCCTGCGTGGCTTGCTCGGCTCGGAGATTGTTATGATTGCGTTGTGGAAATCTGGGCCCGCCGGGGCACGGTCGTTGGCGCTGGGATGCGCTGGGACCGACCCCTGCAACGACAAAGACAAAGTTGGCACGGCTGCGGCCGCCGGGCTCTGTCCGAGCGCAGTGCGGGCCCAGTCCGGGCCCAGCCCGGGCCCGCGGTTGAGGCTTCAGCCACAGTTGTCCGCGCTGTTGGCGATGGCGGCTTCAAAGCACAACGTGCTAGAAACGGCCACAATAGCGAGCAATAACAAACGTTTAGGGTTAGCTCTCGACCTAGCTTGCATTTTCATCTTTCATGTTGACAGCGGCCTGTATATTGACCACCGATCCCGCCGAAAAAATTAATGCAAGTTAGCCGAAAGGAAAACGTTATTTTACGTAAGGCCAACAGTGTTTCGCCCAGCCCACGGGCGAGTGGGGAAACTGTAGCTGGCTGCTGTAAGCGCGGACGGTGCTCGGGGATGCAGGGCCAAGGCAGGGCCTCGCCCGGTCGAGACGCCCCTCGTTAGGGGCGAGGGAAGGGCCTCGCTCCCTGCCCTTTGCCCTTGGCCGCTCCACCCGGCCCGAGGGCCAGCCCAGCCAGCCCCGCCAGCCCCGCCAGCCCCGCCAACCTCGCCCGGCGCGCCTTTGATGCCCTCTACGTACTTTTTGGCCGTGTTTTACTCCCCGCCCTTCGGCCGCCGTTGTCCGGATTAACGGTGGCGGTGCCACGGCGCCACGGCGGCAACAAGTGGCCCCGCGGGGCTGCTCGGGTTGCGCGGTGCGACGCGGCGCGACGCGGCGGCGGGGTGCCTACCCGTCTTGATGGCAGCGCTCGCCGACGCCTCGGGCCTGGCCGCCTGGGCAGCCCACCTTCCCCTGTTTGCACAAGAAAGGCATATTCATCGCTTGGAAAGGGCCGGCCGGGCCGTGGCCAGGCCGTCGTCGGGACGCCGTATATTGCTTCCGTCAATGGCTTCATGAATAAAATGGCAGCGCTCCGAGTCCGAGTGGAGTGGCCCTCGCCCCCGGCCTTCCCCCCCCCCCCCCTCCCCGTCCGACCAATAACGGAAAGAAGGCGGCTTGCTTCCGCGGAGGGGGCAGAGGTGAATAAAACTTTCGGCTGGCGGCGACATCCCCCGCGAGAATTACAAGGCGGTGCCTGGTGCCTTGGGGGAGGTAAATATATATGAAGGCAGCCATCACAGCACGGTAAAAACGTAACCTGGTTTTCCCAGGAAGCCTGTGGTAGAGACATAGGCGGTTTCCAGAAAGTTCCTGGGAAAACCAGGAACCGTTTTTACCGTGAGGCGGAACTCGGCGACGGCGGCGCCCCGTCGGCTGCTCGGTGCGCCGCTCGGTGCGCTGCGCCCGGACGGCCCCGACAACGAGACGAACCGCAGCCGGAGTGACTGACGGACGCCAGCCGCACGCGCGCCGGAAAATTAATTAGTTACGAAAGAGCTCTGAGGCGGTGCGGTGTTCAAGGGAACGCGGGCAGCGCGGATTGCGGTGGAACGGGGTCGCGTGCATTTCAGAGTCAAAAAGGGGGTACTTCTACGAAACCAATTAAGAATTGGCTTTTCAGCCGGGAGACGAGATGGACGTGAAGGGAAAAGAGGGCGCGGCGCGT